GCCCAGCCCCGGGGCCGCCGCTGCCCGCGCCCCCGCCCGCCCCCCGCCTCCCCGGGCCGCTGCAGGACCTTCAGCAACAGCGCGCTCCCTGCCAAGCCTCCGTCCCGCGGCAGCCTCCTGCCGCCTGGAGCCCCAGCCCCGCTGCTGCGCGGCTATTTTGGTGCCCCCGGCAGTGGAAACGTCGCTCCGGGCCCTCGGTGGGGAGCGCTGGAATGGGGACGCGGTCACGTCTAATTAGAGACCTGGCTCACCCCGGGCTGGGCGGGAGTCACCGCGGGTAAGCGCCCCGGAGCCTCAGAGCCCGCCAGGCGGGGGTGCCCACATGCGCCCCTCATGCCAACATCTGGAGAAGGAAGGGAATGCGCCGTGATTGTTTCCCTTGGAGCCGAAACAAAATAAGGAGGGGTGTGGGTGCGGTTCACAGGCTCCGCGGAGGAGCCGCCAAACTTTGAGCAGTCCCCACTGCCTGGAATGCGACTTGGTTTATTCACCACAGGTGCTTCCCTTTGGAACCTGAGTCCCACATAAGATCACCAGCCGCCAGATCACAGACCTGCCAAAAAACGACAGAGACTCCTTCTAACTTGGGGCTCATCAAACTTCCCCTCCAGACTTCTGGTGTCAGGTGGCTACGTCGAGAGAAAGGGCTGAGTCCTACCCAAAAGCTCAGGAATGTTGCATTCTTGAACTGGAAGGAAGCTTCAAGGTCACTCCATCCAATTCCCTCCATCCTGCCAAGAATGGGGGGAAGAGAATGCTGGGGGGGGGGTCTCTACCCACCTTTAGGCACAACCAAGGAGAGGCAGCCCTTAGCCTCCCTTGGGCCTTCTTCCCAAATTTGAGCCCTCTCATTGGCAGGAAGTTCTCCTTGGCAGCTAACCTAAATCCCTCATGTGCAAACTATGTCCATGTGTCCCCACTATGTGTCCAGGGAGAGGGAGGCTGGCTCCATCTCCATAACACAATGACCACTCCAAGGTCCCATCTCAGTCTTCTGTTCTCTTCAGGCCCTGGCTAACAATGACCATGATTCCTGCCCTGGACACATTACGGCTCCTGATATTAACTCAACAGCCTCAGCTCTGGGGACCCCAAGCTCTGTGGGCGCCCAAGTCATTTTCCCCCGGGACAAGCCAGCTTCGACCCTGGCCTCCATCCATTTTCGGACAGCCTGATTCTACACTACCCCACCCAAGTTCCCTGAGAGTAGCTTCAGCTCCTGTCTCAACAAAGGCTGCCTCAGAGCCGGGGACAGAGTTTGGACCCCAGCCACGCGTATGGCTGGGCATGAACACTGGAGTTTGCAAAATCTTTTCTCTGAGTCCATTTCTGGTAGGTCAGGTAGTGTAATAAAAGTAGTCTGGGCTTTGTCCTCAAAGAGACCTGACTTTGCGTCCTGCCTCTACTACTTTCTTCTAGCTGTGTGTCCTTGGACAAGTCATTTAACCTCTCTGAAGCTCACTTTTCCCATATCTACATTGGTGATCATAATAGCTCATGGATTGTGGAAAGTATAAGATGAGATCAGGAATGTAAAATTACCTAGAAAGCTAAGATATTTTTAGTGTGCTAGAAATGGAACGAGGTTTAGATCATAAACAGGATAAATATTAACAAAAAGAGCCTAAGAGATCTTTTATTTCCAGGACCAAATTCTGTGCCTGGGTTTCAGGGCAAGAGAGAAACAGACTTGGTTTTCTAGATGTTCCCTCAGGACAGTGGTTCTCAACCTTCTTAATGCCGCGACCCTTTAATACAGTTCCTCATGTTGTGGTGACCCCCAACCATAAAATTATTTTCATTGCTACTTCATAACTGTAATTTTGCTACTGTGATGAATCGTAATGTAACTATCTGATATGCAGGATGTATTTTCATTGTTACAAATTGAACATAATTAAAGCATAGTGATTAATCACAAAAACAATATGTAATTAGATATGTGTTTTCCGATGGTCTTAGGCGACCCCTGTGAAAGGGTCATTCGACCCCCAAAGGGGTCACAACCCACAGGTTGAGAACCGCTGCCTTAGGACCTTTGATATGAATGCTCCCCACCTGCATCCCACAACATGCGCGTGCACACAGACACACACACATCCGCTTTCCCAGATACGTACTGCACAGCCCAGCCTCCTTGTCTCCTGTTGGCCACATAGGCCCCAGCTGCCTATACCCTCCTCGCTGGCCGCCTCTCCATTCTCGGGAGGCCGCCTCATGGCTCCAGTCTTGACCACAGCAACTCCAAGTTTCCCTACCAAGGCCCATGAGAGCAACTCCTCTCTCCTTGCCCATCCTTCTGGGCCATGGCCCCAGCAAGGCCTGAAACTCAAAGCAAAGGTAGCAGAGGCCTTCTCTGAGACAGTCCCAAACTGAGGCTGCTGGAGGAAGCTCAGAGTTGGAGCATCATCCCCCTCCATCCCCTCCCCTCAGCCTGCCTGGCTTCATAGTGCTGTCCTGCTTAATTCTTAATGGAAATTCCATCCCCGGCGCCAGCCCTGGCTGGCTCATGGAATCCAGGCTTCGGCCAACAACAAACTCCACCCAGAGACAGGAGGCTTGCCTGGTCATATAAACACAGATACACACATATACACATACATACATACACACACAAGACATTTACAAACTCAGAAATTCTTGCCCAGACACATCCATACACAGAAAGATAATAAGCACTATAACCACGAATAGTTATTGCAAGGTAGTAAGTACAAATAGCAACTTCCTTAATCCTCACAACACTAGGTTCTGGTATTAACTTCAATTTACACATCAGGAAACTGATGCATGAAGAGGCTAAGTTAACTTGCATGAGGCATCTATTAATAATAAAAGTGTAATATGCTAATTAGACTGGACAGTTGAACGACCTTCCAGACATCATTCCAGACGTCCTTCTGGATGAAGCCACAGCGGCAGAGGCCGAGGCAGAGGTGGTTAGGGGCGATCAGGCAGGCAGGTGAGCAGTTAGGAGCCAGCACTCCCGGATTGCGAAAGGGTGCCAGCCGGGCTGAGGAACTCCCCGCCCCCATGCACAAATCATGCACCAAGCCTCTAGTTATTAATAACTAACTATAACTTTCACTAATGACTGATTACTATAATCATGTTGAATTCATTTCCCTTACATGCCTCACGTGCAGGTACACCATTTCTCTCCACTAATACTAGCAGGGAATATTTAGCAGCCAATTGCCACGTCATTAGTCTTGGACTGACTTGTTTGGTGTGTGCAAGAGAAAATATTTCGCTTTCGGAGAACAGGAAAAATAGGTTTACTTGCATTACGCTTATTAATTTGTGCAGTTATTCAGTGTCTGGTAAGTTAATGTAAAGAAAAAACATTTATTTTTATTAAAATGTTTTATTCTTTTATGTTAACAATTACTTCTTTATTTCAGCCCTTTGTATTCAGCATGTCTCTATTGAAATAAACCTACGTTTCTATGAAAATGGAAGCTTTTGTTTTTTTGTGGCCCACATAAACTTAAACCTTGTTTATTTGGCCTGTGTCAGCCTTTGAGTTTGACATGCTTGATGTAGGGGGTTCCTCAGAGACTCTGGGCACTGTCCAGGAGCTGGCCAAGGAGGGTTCTGGCCTCCAGGACCAGATGAGGCTGGACAGGGCTGTAGAACAAAGCACGGCATGAAAGCCCAAACTTCCAGTAGTACAGAGCATGTGCTGCTCAAGGGAGCCGGAGCCATAATGCAGAGATGGCAAGACTCTGATGGGAGGCAGAGTGGCTGGGAAGATGGGGCAGGGCCATGACGGAGGACAAGCAGCAAAATCCAGAGCCAGGAACGCTAAGAGAACTGCAGAAGAAGAGAGGAGAAGAGTTAGCAGTCCAGGAACTTGTCCACTGCTTGAAGTTTCCACGCTAAGCAGGACATCTTTAAGCAGAGGCTGTGATGGCCCTGGGCCTCCTAACAAGCATCCCCACTAGAGAGCGCCTGGAAAGACCTGTGCTATCCGGAGCAATCACTTTTGTCTCTTGTGGTTTCCCACCCCCATCCCCATCCCAGAACCCCCCATCACTTCTACTGTCACAGCCCATCCACTCTGTGGCCTAAGGACAGCTCAGCATGGCAGGCCTGTGGGGCATTTGGGCTGAAAAGGGTTTGACCTCCCCACAAATGGACCTGGAATCCTGTTGTCAGGCAATGGCTTTAAGAGAGGGGACATTCTGAGTCTGAGAATTTACATTTGCATTTCTAAGAAGTTCCCAGGTGGTGCAGATGCTACTGGTCTGTGGGGTAGGGGGGTCACACTCTGAGAACCACTACTTTAGAGCATAAGAGGAAGTCAGAGATTATTCCAGCCCAAAACTAAATGGCTTCTTCTGAAAGGTCCCTAAAGAAAGAGTTTACGCTCCTGCCAGTAGTTTGTACTTTCCCCTCCCCGACTGCCAGCTTCCCAGCTTCTGCCTCAGCCCTGCTGTGTGTTGGTGGGTCTCCCATGGGCTCTGTGACGGCTCTCTCTGACTCAGCACATCTCAAGTCAAGTAAGAGATGGTGTCCACTCTGTCCCCACCCGCTCAGAAAAGGTCATCAAGATGAGAAACCTGCACAAAAATACCTGATGACCAGACAGGCTCTCTGATCTGGGGATGGAGATATCAGATCAGAAGTTCATGCTGATGGCAGCTGAAAGGCCAGCCCACCCAGAGAGTTGAGAGATGGACCAGGATCCCAGTACCCACAGCTGCAACCCCGTGTCCGGCAGTCCCCTCCTGCACCGCTGAGACCTGCACATTGAGATGCTGCTGCCCTGCCTCCAGGAGCAATGGTGAGACAGGGCACTCACGGGGGACCGGCAGAGGTAGATCTGGCCCCAGGGTACCAGACAGGCTGGAGCAAATGCACCATTGACTCACTTGGGCCCATCAATCTCTCCAGGCCTTCCCATGCATTGCTCTCAAAAGAGAAAATTTTCCCCAGCCCCCAGAGCCAATGTGAGAACTCACAATATCTTTCGAATGAGGCAATGTAAGGACTGGAAAAGCCCTCAGAGATCTCTGGGTACAGGGTTTGAAAATTTTATTCTCCACCAGGATCACCTGGGGGTGAAATGCAGATTCCCAGTCCCCCCGACCCCCCCCCCCCCCTCCGAGGTTCTGAGTCCGCAGGCGGGTGGTGAGCTGGGGCCTGGTGCAGCAGCTCTCTTCCCAGCTCCTTATTCAGTGACTCCACTTGACTAGTGAAGTTGGCCATAGTGAGAGTATTTATTTACACCCTGGAAATTGGGCAAACACTACAAAGCAGGGCATTTTGTTTTGTTTTGCTTTGTTTTGGAATTCCTGTCGTGGACCATTTAGCAGCACAGTGTGGAGCACATGGGCCTCTATTTTCAAGCGTCCCGAGCTGTTATGACGCAGGCCTGTTTTGTGAAAGGAACAATGATCCAGTGATGAGGCTCTAACCCAGTGGTTCTCAACCTTCTGGTCCTTTAAATACAGTTCCTCATGCTGTGACCCAACCATAAAATTATTTTCGTTGCTACTTCATAACTGTAATGTTGCTACTGTTATGAATCGTAATGTAAATATCTGATATGCAGGATGGTCTTAGGCGACCCCTGTGAAAGGGTCGTTCGACCGCCAAAGGGGTCGCGACCCACAGGTTGAGAACTGCTGCTAACCTCAAGCCCTCATCTACAGGTAGAGAAACTGAGGCCCAGTGAGGGGAAGAATCTTAGTCACGGTCATCCTAATAAGCTCCTTGAGGGATCACAGCTGCTCTGTTCAAGGCGGTAGGGACTAGGGCAGCCCCGCCTGTTTTCCGGATCCTCCCGGAGTCCTCTCCTCCACAAAGCTGCATCCTCTCCACTCACTTGCTGTAGCTTATTGGCTAAGTAAGGGCGGGGATGGAAGGTCCTGCCCATTGTGGGCCAATCAGATCACCTCTCATCCACATTTGGAATTGAAATAAGCTGGACCAGAGGTTAGTAGCAGCCAAATCACCTGACTGGGATGCCCTGGACAGCCAGCATGTGAATTCCAGACACTGAGGGCTCCAGGCCTGCCCTAACCAAGCCCTAACTATTCAACTCCTCATTGAATTTAGAGAGATTCCCAAACCACAACAAATTCCCTGTCTTACTTAAACAAGCTACTTTCCATTACAACCAAGACCACCTTCAGAAATGCAGCCTCAGAGCAAGTTAGTAGAAATAAGAACTCAAGATTCCTTCACTATTGTCTTGCCCCTACATCCAGCCCTCAGACAGGATGAAAAGGAGTGTGTGCAAATGCCCAGTTTCCCAGGGCAGTGGTTTTTCAAGAATGACCCTGGTCCCCAGCAGCACCAGCAACCTCTGGGATGGTATAGGAAATGCAAATTCTCAGGCCTCCCCCAGAACTACTGAACCAAAACTCTCCCGCTAGGGTCCAGCAAGCTGTTTTGTTTTGGTTTTGTTTTAATCCTCACCAGAGGATATTTTTCCATTGATTTCTAGAGAGAGTGGAAGGCAGGGGGAGAGACAGAGAGAGAGAGACACGATTGGTTGCCTCCCACACGTGCCCCAACCAGGGCAGGGGATTGAGCCTGCAACTGACGTACATGCTCTTGACCAGAATCAAACTCAGGACCCTTCAGTCCGCAAGCTGACGCTCTATCCACTGAGCCAAACCGGCTAGGGCCAGCGAGCTGTGTTTTAACCAGCCTTCCAGGTGATTTGGCCGCCTGCTGAACTTTGAGGACCACCGCTCTGGTGGGAGGAGCCAGAGCTTCTGCCTCCCTAAATCGAAGGCCATCCGGGTGCCAGTCACACTCCTTCCTGGCCAGCCTGCTTAGCCCCGTGCTCCTGAGGACGCTGGGGAGTCTGAGCAGCAGTCATGCACCCTGAGCTAAGACGGAGCCCTCTATCCAGAGTCTGAGGGGCAACACCTTTCCAAACACACCCGGACAACCGCAGCAGACACCAGCCAGGGAAATGCTACTCCTGTCACTGTCCTGGTGCCTAATTGAGGGGGTGACTCAGGGGACATTCCCTGGCCACTTGGATTCTAGGGGGCTTGCTCTGCTGGCCTGGAGATGGCTTTAGGTGTCCTGCAAGGAAGCCTGCCAAGGGCCTGGCTCTAGAAGCCACTTTGGCCTCTCCACAAAATAATAATAAAAATAACTATGGCTACACTAACAGGTATTGCCTTGTACCCGTATACCAGCTCTGTCATACTAAGCATGTTCTGTCCCTTCCCTGACTCCTCACAGCCCTATGCCCACTCCTGTCTCTGAATTCACCTGGCCTCCAGCTTTAGAAAAGGACCCTCTACCTCGCCCGCCCCCCCCCCCATCCTATCTAAGCCAGTGCCTGGCCTCCTCTCAGCAGCAGGTGCCCTTCCTCCCGTCCCAGG